CATTTCTGGAGTATGCGAGCCAGAGATTGCTTTCTAGGAATTTATGTTAAAGAGATCAGCATGTGTATGTGCAAAGATTTACCTATAAGGATGTTCATGACAAAATTACTTAGAAAAACTTAAAAAGGAATCAGAATAACCAAGACATCCTTGGGAACTCCTTGAGCAAATCATGGCACAGCCAAACAATGGAAGATTATGCAGTTATTAAAATGTTGTTTTAGAAAAATACTTCATGAGACAGAAAATGTTCTCTACATTTTAAGTTTTTTTAAAGCAAGTGAAAAACCTACATGTAGACTATGTTAGTTGTTTTTGTTTTAAAATAAAATGATGACCAAGAATATATACAAATCACTCTGATGATGAAATGATGGGTAATTTTTATTTTCTTATTTGTATTTTTCTACTGTGTTCAAATGGTCTATACTACTCCAGTTGTGAGGTTAGATCGACAGCATCAGCATCCCGAGAGCTTGCTAGAAATGCAGCCCCCTAGACCTGCTGGATCAGAATCTGCATTGTAACAAGGTTCCCGGGGGATCTATATGTAGTTTACAGTTTGAAAAGCAAAGCTGTATATAACTGAACATAAGAGAAATAACCATTTTAATTAAAGAAAGCCCCAGATTGTGATAACCAGTGCTCCTTGCTATTTGGAAGGTAGTTTTGATAGGAAGCACAAGCAATTCTTACCTTCCCAAATCCTTAGAAATGGCTTAACATGTCCACATTTTCCACTTCGACAATGGGGCATCGAGCAGTGACACGTCCCTCCGTCTCCATCCCCTCCCCCAGCCACAGGGCCACAAAGCCTGAGTTCTCAGATTCTGCGTTGAGGTAGAGAAATATAGATTCCTCAAGAGCTGCTATTCAAGCCACGAGCAGCATGTGCCAATGTTCCACCCACAATTCTAGTTCAGTCTCATTAAGCTGCACATCTGGCTGTCACACACTCTTTTGTGGGGACATCTCAATGGCAGCACTGATGCTGCTTCTCCCCAGGGCCAGCCCCACAGTGGCCTCCCTGTCTTCCCAGCATGTGATGTCATGAGCATGAATGTCCTGCCAAACATTTAAGATGCTGCAGTTCACATTGTGTACATTGTATAGAGAAACACTGACACGCAAACTTGAAATGAAATAAAACACCACACACACACACACACACACAGGGCAAGATACAACCAAACCTTGTTCTATTGTTATCCCAGACCACCAACCCAGCACAAATATGTTACTTGCATTCTTAAGTACACAATTTTCTCCTTTTTTGTTGCTGTCTTGTAACTAGCATCCCTAGATTCAAAGATTTCCTTGAAACATTCTTTCTCTAATTTGGTTTATATCAAATTCTTGGAAAGCATGAGCTAAACTGGTTCATTTCAAACCAAAAATCCCCTGCATGTGGTCTCTTCAGAAGAGGCAAAAGAGTGGGGGGAAGTTGGATGCAAATCTCAGTCATCTGCCCTCTGAGGACCGTCAAAGAGGGACAACGGGGAAGCAGGCACACTACAGAGAGGCATGACAAGGAGGCTTTCCCATCACTGTTTCTCAGAGTGTGGCATGGGGACCACCTCATTAGAATTAGAGGGTGTGCAATAAAAATGCAGATTTTGGGTACCCACCCAGAGTCCATCTCTGGGGGTGAAGAGAGTGCATCTGCAATTTCCCTTTGTAGCAGAGAGTCTTATGTTGGGAGAACGAGGGCTTTAGAGTTAGGTAGACTTAAATCCAATTTTAGGTCTATCTAGTGGCTGACCTAGACAATCTAAACTCTCTAAATCTCATTTTTCTCACCTTTACAATGGGAACCGTGAGGGTGATGAAACATGTGAAGTTCCCAGCACAAACAGGTCTCAGGAACATGAATACCTTTTTCGCTGTTATTCAAGTAGAGCACTTTGAGTCTGCCATTTTACCTGTGATTGGGGTCATTGTCTTTCCTTGAATGACAATTATTGATACTGTAGTTGCTAGGTTTTAATGGAGCTCTGATGAGAGCAGATAAAATCATCAAGACTGAATCTCTCTTAATGATTACTGAGGCAGGCCTGCTGTTCTGTACTGTGCTGTCCCACCCAGTAGCCACTAGCCCCATGTGGCCACTAAGCACTTAAGGATTGGCTCATACAACTGTGCTGTGAGGGTCAAATAGACACTGAAATCCAAAGACTTCATACAAAAAGAAGGATGTAAAATATCCCACTAATAATTGTTCACATAGTAACATAATATTTTGGCTGCCCCTGGCCAGTGTGGCTCAGTTGGTTGGGTGTCATCCCGTGCACCAAAAGGTCGCCGGTTCAATTCTTGGCCAGGGCACATGTCCAGGTTGCAGGTTTGATCCCTGACTGGGGTGCTTACAGGAAGCAATCAATTGATATTTCTCACATTAATGTTTCTCTCTCTCTCTCTCTCCCCCTTCTCTCTCTAAATCAATAAAAATACGTTTAGATAGATAGATAGATAGATAGACAGATATAGATATATATTGACTGTATTGGATTAAGTGCAATATATTAAAATAGATTTCACTTGCCCAGCAGGTGTGGCTCAGTGGATTGACTGTCGTCCCATGGACTGAGAGGTCCCAGTTCAATTCCTGATCAGTACACATGCCAGGGTTGTGGCTTTGATCCCCAGTGTGGGGCATGCAGGCTGGCAGCTGACCAGTGTTTCTCTCTCACATCGATGTTTCTCTCTCTCTCCCTTCCTCTCTCACTAAAAAATTAATAAAAACATTTTTTTAATTTTTTAAATAAATAAAATCAATTTCGCTTGTTTATTTTTAGCTTTCTTCAGGCAGCTCCCAGACAATTTTAAACTACACATGTGGCTCTTAGTGTATTTCTACTGAGCAGTGCTGTTCTAGGGGAACAGCTACCCCTCCCTGTATTTCCCACACTGGAGTTATGACCTACAAAATGGAATTCTCTTGATCAGCTAGGAGAGATTTGGAGTGTCTCTTCTGCTGCATGGCTCATGTAACACACCCCCTCCCATGAGAAAGCAAGCAGCAGCCTCAGGGAAGGAGGTGGGTGAGTGGGCACATCCATCCATAGAGAGAAAAAGGACGTGACCTTCCTGATTCAAGCCGGTGGCTGTAAGGAGAGATGTGGGGATCCAAAGCGTTCCACGGCAACCTCCTTCCCGGAAGCCTTTTGCTCCATGCATGGTCACCACTATCACAGCCCAATGAGTTTCGAATTAGGGAGGATCCTCCTATATAATGACGACTTGTGTTCTTACAAAAACTACATCATCACAAGCAAATATGTTGATCAACATGAGGGTTGTCTTCTCTGTGAATAAGTTAGAAATAGTTTCCACCAGGTTATAATCTCCTAATATACACAAAGATCTACAAAAATGACTAGCCCAAGTGGATATTTCCAAAGAGGAAATGTTTGCCAACTATCATACTATCAGCTAATGAAATTAATATTGTTGGAAAAACACTGCCAAAATAGGTTGTAATCTGTTTTTTTTTTTTTAGAGCAGAATCATAACTTCATGGAGTTTCTGGAATAGAAAACAAACAAAAATCAGCTCAGTGTGTCTGTCTGTCTTTGTCCAAATTTCCAAAGATCTATGAACAAAATGTACTTAAATACCTAAAGATCCAATAAAATGGGTTTGTTTTATACTTCCTTTTATACCTACCCGATTCCTTTACTAGGTGTTCAAAGTAGATGTAAAAAGCTTAACTGCATAACGCCTGACACTTGGTTTCTGATTGATGCCCATGTATATGTGACTTAAAGATACCACTTATGTCTCTCCACTTAAAAAACCTAGACAGCATCTAGGTTATACTTTTACAACAACACATTACCACCATGATACAGTGGATAACTTTTTAATTATTCAGGGCAGTGCACAATGACTTGTTCTTACATCACTGATCAGGTTCCCGATAAATTACTAGAGACTAACAAAATTGTTTAAAATCAGTATGTGATACCTCTGGAAACAACAGAATATTAAAGGCACGTTTTGCAGACAGTCTGTTATTTTATTGCACAGATTTCACTGAAGAACAAAATGCACCATCAATGTTTGGAGAGGCTGGGGTCTTGGAGACTGATTCACCATCAGTGTTTACACCCGTAAAGCCAAATTCAACAGTACAGTTTATGTTAAACAATAATCACTTCAAGATGGCTAACAGAATAAAAATAGAGGAAGGGAAGAATAGCTTTTAAAATGTGTTAAGTTGAAGTACATGCACGTGTAGGATTAAAAAGTACATCACACACTAGAAATCAAAAACATTCTGTGGAATGCCAGTTAGAGTTATACTCACTTGTGCTGTTATGTATCATATAATGAAAGTCTATTTGGTTCATTTCCTTCATACTGAATTGAGAATTTCAGGAAAACCATGGTTATAAAAATGATCAATCTTGAAAAAATATGTACAGAGAAATGTAAAATCACAAACTAAAAAAAAGAAAAAAAATTCCCACCCCTTGCCCTCAACTTACAAAAGGGAAACTTTCCCATGGAGGGAAAGTTCCACCACTCCCTTCCCTCCCCCAACCCATGACCCCAATTCTATCTTTTTCTAGTTTCTGACTAAATGACCTTGGAGCTGGAGAGGAGGGAGGGAACAGAGAGGCATCTTTATGAGGCTCCCTTTGTCATCTGTAACAACAGTTTGAAAAGTGTCTTTTATTTCTCTCCCCCATACCCAACTCAGCAATGTTAACATTTAAAGAGAGAGCCCAGCTGGTGTGGCTCAGAGGTTGAGCATCAACCCATGCCCCAGGAGGTCACCAGTTCAATTCCCAGTCAGGGCACATGCCCAGTTGTAGGCCAAATGCCCAGTGGGGGGCATGCAGGAGCCGGCCAGTCGATGTTCTCTCTCATCGATGTTTCTATCTCTTTCTCCCTCTCCCCTCCTCTCTAAAATCAATAAAGAAAATATATTTAAAAGAAGACATTTTTTTAAAATGTAAAGAGAGAGAAAAATATATATATATATATGTATAACTTTTATGGACAACAAAGTAATGCCCAAGAGCTAATAGTGGGCAAAACCATGGGAAAAATGTGTAGGGGCCTGGCCAGTTTGGTTCAGTGGTTGGAGCATCGGCCCGTGGACCAGAGAGAAAAATGTGTGGGCATTATCTGAGTTGAAGACTTACTTTAAGGCAACAAAATGGGAGGGGGTGTTAAGACTATGAAATACCAGACAGGATGCTTTTCCAGACCTTTGGCTGTGGAGCCTGACAGAGGAGTGGGCTTCCCCCAACTGTGGTGAGCAAACCTGGGGCCATGGCTCGGCACCTACAGCACCTCCGTGGGCAGACCGGCAGCTCTCATACATGGGCACTCTTGGCATGAGTAGGGGAGCTAGAGCCCGAAGAGTAGTAGAAACGGTTTTCACCAAACGCCTGGGCATCTCCTGAGCAGCAGAGGATGACAGAGCCACCCACAAGGCAGAGCACGGCACCGATCCAGCCGGCGTACAGAGAGTAGCCAAAGCTCACGATGGTGGTCTCTTGGTGGGCGCACACAGGGAACCAGATGGTGGCGACAATGGCGCAGAGAGCTGGGGAGACATGGAGAAGGCTGTGAGTGGCCACACCCATCACGCACCAAGCACATGCACACACCTTCACTCCACATGCACATGCCTCTGGCTTCCAATCAACTCCAGAGAACTTCATACACACAGCTCTGCTCCCTCCGCAACCTGAACCTAAAGCTTTGCATCTACACAATGAGTGGATCAAAAGCTGTGTCAAACTGCTATGTCCTTATTTTTGCAACAGGTGAGAGACACAAAAATCTATGTAAAAACCTAGTAATAAATCACTTAAGTTCAAAAAATATGTATTTGTATTTGCTTACATATCTTGACTTTATATATCTATAGTTACAATTCTATTATTACACTTAGCTAACTGCATTGTAATTACCTCTTCACATGTCTATTTTCCATTCCAAGTTCTAAGTTCTTGACAGCAAGGACCATGTCTTGTCTTCGTGAAGTTGGTGTTTAGCTCAGTATAAGCACACAGTATGTGCTCAGTGTGTACCAGTGGAATGAGTGAACCACCTGAGCTACTCAGACATGAGAAACAAGGTAGTGCCCCCTTCAATTTTCTGCTCAGTTCTTTCAATTTAGTCAGTTCACATTACAGAGACCTAAAAATTCTCTTGCTGTAGTGGATTATCACTAGACATCAGTGCAGTATCAGCTACTCATTTGTGTTTGTGTTGTGCTGTTCACAATCGCAAAAATCTCAACACACAAACCAACAAAGCAAAAGAGTTGACCCATTCAAGGGTCGGTAGAACAAGAGCAGGTAGGAGCCTATAAAGACTTCAACCTTGTTTAAACCTCTAGACCAGCACTGTCAAATAGGATTGCCACAAGTTACATGGGCTATTGAACATTTCTCATGAAGCTAGTGAGACTGAAAAACCGAACTCTGGGTTTTAACTGATTTACATTTAAATGACCACATGTGGCAAGTGGCTACTGTACCGAACAACATGGCTCCAGGCAGGGTAACCCCATAACTTTCTTTGTTATCATCTAATTTTTCACAACTATAAGCTGGACAGAAAGTTAGTTAAAGCTTTAAGTTAGAATGGCATGTTAAAGTTGACAGATCTTGCCCTGGCCGGCTCAGCGGTTACAGCGTCGGGCCGTGAACCAATGAGTTGCGAGTTCGATTCTGGTCAAGGGCACGAACCTCTTACCTCGACTGCAGTTCGTCCCGGGCCCTGGTCGGGTCGTGAATGACGCAACCAGTCGATGTGTCTCTATCACATTGATGTTTCTCTCTGTCTCTCCCTCCCTCCCACTCTATCTGATGATAAATAGAAAAGTATCCTTGGGTGAGTAATTTAAAAAAAAAAAAAAAAATTGCCTTCTTCTTTTATAATCCAGGCAAAATAAGGCAAATGAGTACCAGCAGGTTCTTTATTTCCTAGCAGATAAATGAACTCTGGGTGGAATTCCTGTGGTTCTCAAAGATGAACCACATCAAAACCACTGGAAGATGACAGACCACCACACAACATGAAAGGAAATGAGAGGTTCACTGGAATCAGTGACCTTCAACTGAACTCACAGGAAGAATGTTTACAAACTAAAAAAGGAGAATTTACTCAATTCTGCAATGTTTTGAAGGGAAAGGGGGATATGTTCAAATCAATAAAGTTAAAAATCCAAGTCAAATCATTACTCAACTAAAAGTTGTGAATTAAGAACTAGCAATAATTTTTAACTTTCTCAAAGACATATAAGACCTGCTAGATTTATTTCTATTTAAATATATAGAAAGAGAGATTATAATGGTCTTCTTGATTATTTAAGAACAATTTTTGAAATGTTTTTCTTAAAAAGTCACAGTTACTTATAAGGTAAAGAAAATTGAGAATTTTCATTGCTTTTCTTTTACGTTAACAGAACATGTTTTGAAACTAAGTCTCTAAAAACAGGACAGAGGAGTTTTAACATTGATTTTTCCATCTGTTTCTCTTTTCTACCTTCAGAAAATGCAATAGTTCACTACACAAGAGGAAAAAATCTACCATTTGTAGGGAGAGCACAAAGCGGAAATTGGGGATACTCTTATCTTCAAAAACAAAAGAAGCGAAGGGAAAAGAGAGCTTCACTATGTAGATATAGATTCATCTGGACTTGGTCCTCTACAAGTAAAATTCCTTGCTCTTCATTGAATAAAATTGTTTGCTTCTCTTGATAAGTTTTAAATAATGTGATATAATGGTGTTCCTTAATTGACAGAATACACCCTTGCTAAAAGCTAGCAATGATCTTGATGGAGCCAAACACAGAAAATATTTGGAAAGGTAATTTTAGAGCAATGAAATGTAAGTGTAGTTTTAATCCCTTTAGGAATTAGAATGACAAACAAATGTGATGAAGTTAAAAAAAATCGGTACAGGTGTGTTTGGAGGTAACAACTTAGAGAGAGACACACACACTGGATAGAAAAGAAGCCCAGAAAGACAGAAGAACACCAGACCCTGATGTTTCTTCTTCCTCCAGGAGCACCTATTTTCAGGCTTTGTCACCTTCAGTATGAGGCACTGAAAGGACTGAAAGCATCATTTCTAACACAAAGCAATATTTTCATTAAAGTCATTGAAATTAATCTGAAATTAATCTTATGTTAGTAATACTGGAAAACATCGTCCATGATGCTATATCTGAGATCTGGGGATATATATCTGGGGACTGGAAGAAGAGAGAAAGTACATAGAAAAAGCAGTTTGGCTGTGATTATTGAGAATGAGTTTGGGTGCATGGGGGTTTATCAGACTATTCTTTCTACTTTGCACATATTTGAATTTTTCATAATAAAAAATGTTTTAACCCCCCCCTCCATTTAACATTTTACAATGTATTGAACGTTGTCTTCTACAACCGATCCTATGATTACATGTGATCTAAATAGCAATCAGTTTCAGCTTTTCTCAAAGAAGCCAGTTAACTCAAGGCAACAAATACAGAGATGTCTAATGAGCTGTTGGTTGCAGCCATATTTATTTGTTGTTTCCTTATCATTTGAATCTAGAAAAAAAAATTTTTTTGCATTTATCATTCTCTAAATTTTGACTTAAGAAAGCATAGCTACCAAAGGACATATTCCTCTTATACAGACTGTTATGAATATCTAATTTTTACATCATCAAGTCAATGGAATATTTGAGTACATTATTTTCCTGGCCTGCTTTCAGCATTTTTTCCCCTTTATTTCTACTCCACACATCATTCTATTTTTTTTTTCCTATAACCGTTTTTAAAAAAACAGTCTCATGGTCGGTTATTTGTTAATTTTTTTTTTAATCACAGAATTTAGAGACAGGAGAGATGTCAAAAGCAGTTCATTCCTCCAATTTTACCAAGAAGGTCATTTTAAGCCACAACCACACCAAGATGCCACATCCTTTCCATTACCCATGGGAAATTGATTTAGATTAGAAACTTGCTTGTATAAAGCTTATGAGTTTGGAGGAAGACTTTTTCTAACAATTTTATTAAGACCCCCACAATTAAGAGCAGCACCCAAGAATTCCCATTCCCGTAAGACATCTGATTCTGTGTGCATGACAAGCTCAATGTGTCCCACATTTGCACACACCATTTATCTTACTGCAATCTCATTATTCACCTGTAAGTTCCAAATCAAAACTACTTTTTTCCAGTACAGATAGGATTCCTGGGACCATATTTTTTAAAAGGAGAAGATGAATGAATTCCATTAAGAAGGAAAATACATTTCCTTTTCTTCTATTCCTACCACACCTCCCCAAGAAACACCCAAATCAACTTATACCACGATGAGCATGAAACTGAATCAGAACTGAGCTTGAGCATCTTCAGTTGGGTAATTTAACTCCAACGAGGGATCCCCACACTCTAGTTTCTGCAAAGTAAACAAAGGAACTATTTTTATTAGACCAGGATTCGACCTAGTGTTTCCAGGAACAGCTCATGGTCTCTCCTTACCAATTCCATGCATGGACAGTACCCTGCAGAAATTAGACATGATCAAAAGAATACCCAATTGCCCCGTGGGTTACCTCTCTAGTTCCTCTAACCAACAGCAGCAATATCAATAGCAACCATTTGTTGAGCATATACTATGTGTCAACACCTTGCCAAAGAATTTGCCTATGTCTGAATGGACCTGGAAATTATTATGCTAAGTGAAATAAGCCAGTCAGAGAAAGACAAATACTATATGATCTCACTTATATGTGAAATCTAATATACAAAATAAACTGATGAACAAAATAGAAACAAAGGCATGGATACATGGAACAGACTGACAGCTGTCAGAGGGCGGGAGGAGGAGAGAAAGACTGGATGAAAGAAGGTGAAGAGATTAAGCAAACACACACACACACACACACACACACACATACCTCAGACACAGACAACAGCAGTGTGGTGATAGCCAGAGGGAAAGGGGATGGGGTAGGTGGAGGTAGGCAAAGTGGGGATAAATGGGGACAAAAAGAGACCTTGCTTGGGGTGATGGGTGCACGATGCAGTGTGCAGATGATGTGTTGTTGGGTTGTACACTTGAAATCTGTTTGGCTTTCCCAGTGTCATCCCAATAAATTTGATTAAAAAGAACTTGCATATATCATTTCACTATTCTTGCCAACCTCAGAAGACACTGCTGTCCCCATTTTATATAAAGGCTCAGTTCACACAGCTGGAAAGTGGTAAATCCAAGATTCAGTGCAGTTGGTCTGACTCCAGATAATACGATAAAGCATAGGCACCTCCTGTCTCAGCAGGGGCTTGTGAAAAAACACAGATTAGATTCGCCTCAGATCCATTCTGATCTGAGGAGCCTGCTGCTCCTTGGGCTGCTCGTCTGGTCTCAGAGGCCGGCATCAGCCTCCCCTGCCGTCCCCACCGCAGGAACCAAATCCTCACACCGTTAAACTTGGACTGCTGAGAAATAAAGCTGCCGTACAACAGACATGTTTTTAAGCTTTTAGAAAAAATAATTAAAGATCTTTAGGGTCAGAAAGAACTGATTTTAATTAACAGTGCTGACAGTGTCCATACTAAGATTAACTTTGACACTGTTTCTAGTTCCTAGACTCCCAAACCCCCGTGCTGCCTGGTCCCCTTTGGTCATCGACCACACCTCATCTCGAGCACCACTGGTGACCCCTAGAACCCAGCATGATCCCAGCACCGGCTTCTCCCGGACAGGGAGAGCGACAGAAGCCAACCCAGAGCAATACAAAGGGAGCCTTCACTCCCTCTTGCTCCTCCCACCCTCTGCCAACAGGGAAAACAAGGCACTTGGGCTCCATGGAGAGAAGACCTAGAGACGACCAGCAGGTGCCACACTTGAGACAATGAGCTTTACATTTCCAGAGCTGGCTCGTTCCAGTCAAAACAACACCCAATCCAAAGGCAAGTAGCCACCCCCTGAGAAATAAATCCAGACAGGGGCAAGCAAGGGGGCAGCAGGTAGCACGGGAACTGCAAGGCTACGAGAGGGCAAGGAGCAGTGCCCTCCTCCCAGTCCAGCAGCGAGTGGCCAGAAATGTGCAACCTCCCTGGGGTTCGTATCACTCAACACCCCCTCCATCGTTCTACTCTAGGCAGTAAACCGACTGAGGAACTCACATCACTACCCAGCCTCACCTCACTTTTCTTTCTATGATTCTGCCTACATCCACCAACCCATGTGGAAAAGGTCAAGAGAAACTTCATTTAATTCAACCAGGAAGTTTCAAACAACTGGTTGCTATTTTTTCAAATAACCCTTCTTATTCAGCTGGATGATTCCGTTGTTTTTAGGGTAGGTTTTTTTTAATACCCATGTGTCTATTTGTGCTTTGCTTTTTTAAAAAAAATGTTTGAATTTGGCCTTGTGAGTTTAATGTATTCCCTTACTTGCAGATATTCTGTGATGCTCATATGGAAGGCCAGGATTTCTCAAGATGAACTCCTAACTCAATGGACCCATCTTTGGCTTTGCACCCTCAGAACCAAAGAAACGGTTTTCTGGGGCTTCGGTGATAATGTGAGGAAAGTAACAGACACCGGCAACTATCTAGGATGAGAAGAGTTTCTTCTGGATTCTACAAATCGGTTTATTTGAACAGCTTTCTTTGGTCTACCTGTTAGAAAGGAAATTTGGATACAAAGATCTGACCATCAAAAAGTACCCCTGCCCAGCTGGTGTGGCTCAGTGGTTGAGCATTGACACATGCACCAAGAGGTCGCCAGTTTGATTCCTGGTCAGGGCACATGCCCAGGCTGTGGGCCAAATCCCCAGTGGGGGGCATGCAGGAGACGGCCAATCAATGTTCTCTCTCATCAATGTCTCTATCTCTCTCCCTCTTCTTTCCTCTCTCTCTAAAATCAATAAAGAAAAATTATTTTTTTTAAAAAGGTACCCCTGTTAGAGAAAAGAGGATGGGGAGTGAGAGAGAAAAACCAAGGAACTTACATGCATATAGGCCTAACCAGTGGACACTGACAACAACGCAGTGAGGGGGCAGGGAGCAGGGAGGAGAATGACAAGGGGAGGAGAACAAAGGAGAAGGACAGCTGTAATACTTTCAACAATAAAGATATGTCAGAAAAAAAGTTCTAGGGGGGAAAAAGAAGAAACATCTGTAACAAAAATAAATTAATTAATTTTTAAAAAGTACCCCTGTTAGTTAGATGAAGCACTTGATGTTGGCTGTGTTTGATCCAAACTCTTCATGGATGGAACCAAACGTCCATGCCCAGATTCTTCTCTAGAAATCACAGTAGTATTCCCGTCTTTTCAATCCTGTTAACATACGCGCACATGCACACACACACACACACACACACACACAGCCCTGAAAACCTCCATCCCTTTGCTATCTTGTGAAATAGTGCCCCTACCTCTCATGTCCCCTCACCTCACCGGTGTCACTAAGTGGCAATGACCCACACGGAACCCTGTTTTCTTACCCTTACCTGGGGTCTGATACCAGTTTGGAGGTGGGAATTCCTTGTTCCAGGAGAACTTGACTTTATATCTAACCCATATGCACACCAGTTTCTCCCCAATGATGTATGAGTTCACTTTACAAGAGTTCTTCAAATTCATGTTATTAGAATTTACCATGTGTTAACAAAATTAGCATTCAAGGAAAAAAATAGAGAGATGAAATCACTGAAGAGAACGGAGCTAGAAAGGCCCTCCCCCAGGTGGTTAAATCTAGCGCTCTGTGTGGAAGCGATCAGAAAAACTGAACAAGCACATGCCATTTCCTGGGCCAGGACTGCCCTCCCTCCAGCCCCTGACCTGACCACCTTCTCTCCAACTCTGGGAAACTCCTCTGGTCTGGCTTGTGTGCCTTCCTACGTGTGTGCACAGCGTGTTCGGCTTTTTAAGATGAGCACATACTACACTCTATCAAGATGTCCAAGTACTTTCAAAGCAGAGACTTGACATTTTTTCCAACACCCCCAGTGTCTACTGTGGTGCACAGCACTTAGCAGGTGCTCAATGACTGCTTACTGACTAAACGATTGAATCATCACCTAGTGACCTACCACCTCTACATCTTACATTTCTGTTGCCCTCCTCTTTCTCTGTTCTTTCTTTATATACTAATTGAGGTTCACAATCCTAACTACACGTAAGAGTCACCTCACATGTAGTTGGAATTTCATAAAATATCTTTGTTTGGCTTTATACCCAGAAATTCTTTTTTTTTAATCCTCACCCGAGGACATTTTTTGCATTTATCTTCAGATAGAGCAGGAGGGACAGAGGGAGGGAGAGAGGAAGGCAGAGAGAGAGAGAAACATCCATGTGAGAGCGACACATCAACTAGTTGCCACCCACATGACCCCAACCGGGGCTGGGGACAAACCGTAACCGAGGTACATGCCCTTAGCGGAAACCAAACCTGGGACTCTCTGGTCCGTGGGCCGACACTCTAACTGCTGAGCCAAACCAGCGAGGGCTTTACCTAGAAATTATGACTCAATTGACATGCTCTGGGACCTGGGCACAGGTGTGTTTAAAAAGGAATTCTAGCCCTGGCCGGTTTGGCTCACTGTGGACCAAGGAGTCACGGGTTCAATTCCAGTCAAGGCACGGACCTTGGTTGTGGTTTGTCCCTGGCCCTGGTTGGGGTCATGCCAGAGGCAACCAATCAATGTGTCTCTCTCACATCGATGTTTCTTTCTCTCCCTCTCTCTCTCTCTCTCTCTCTCTCTCTCCCCCTTCCTCCTTCCTCCCGCTCTATCTGAAGATAAATGCAAAAAATGTCCTCGGGTGAGGATTTAAAAAAAATAAAATAAAAAGGAATTCTACTGTGAAGTCTGAGTGACAGCCACTGTGTAACTCTTTTCTGCCCTTCTGGTCTCTGCCTTAGGTATTTCCTATCCTCAAAATCCTTTTTTGCCTTTTGTTCATTTATATTCATGTTCAGTGACCTTCCCTCCCACACACATAGATACGACTTATCCCTCTGTGTAAACTGCCCACAGAACAAAGGGACACACATTGGGGGGAGAGACTGTTCCACAGAAGATTCACCAGCTTTCTCTCATTCGTCTCAAACTGGATGAAGCAACAGCACGATCTGACAGGCATCGCATTTACTCAGAGCTGCGTCCATGTAGAAAGCAGTCTTACCCAGCAGAATGAGCAATACACCAGCCAGCTGGGCCCGCCTGTACTTGGCCACACCAGGCTCATGGCCCATGCGGATACAGGGGAGCACCGTCAGCAGCAGCAGAATGGCTGGCAGGCCCAGGACTGAGGATGCAATCATCAGGGCTCGGCAGGCCTGCACATAGCCTGGAAGCAAAGAGCAGACAGAGGGGGTTAGACTAAGGTTCCCCTTGGATCCTGAACCCTGCCTCATGGGAATTCAGTACCACTTGCCCATTCCAGCACTTAGAAGGTGTCAAATGTTGTCCATGATCACTTCACACGTTGAACTTTTAAAGTGACTCAGTGATAAAAAAAAAAAAATGGGGGGTGTTGAGGGCTGAAGAGACTGAATGGGGATCTCAGATTTAGACCACTTGTCTAAGCTTCCAGGATGAAGGGGCCAAGAATCCAGTTATTGTATTACCTTGTTAAAGATTCAGAATAAAACTCTAATCTTCTAAGAAGTCTTCTGTGATGGACACGCTATTGGTTCCAGCCTGTTGTTGATACACTCGACCTGTGTGACCCTAGGCAAGTTATTGAACTGCTGTGTCTTGACACTTATCTCATCTATAGAGTAAAAATAATAATAGTACCTATATCTCTCTAATAGAATTCAACCAAGATTAAGTTAGTTGATTTGTACAACAGTGCCCAGCACATGCAGAGTACTCTGCAAAGTTAGCTATGATTAATTGGTGTTATTACTCCTTATCATCCCTTTAAAGGCATCCCTCCAGCCCCAGCGATTCCTAGAGGGCAGACACCTGGAGTTAACACAGTGCCCACAACAGATGAAATAAACATACAATTATAAATGAAGGAATATCTGATTTGAATAATAAGAAGAAGCAAAACTACCAGAACTTTATACTGTCAAATTAAATGCCAGGTAACAACTTGATTAAGAAACAGATTACAATATGTGAAATATTTATGCAAAATGAGTCTGACAAGATCCTGGGAGAAGCTGACAAACTTAAATATATTGTTTCTCATTAAAACACTCTCCCGCCTCAAAAAAAAAAAAAAGATTGTATGTATTACTCTCTCTTTTTGGCTCAGAGCGAATTACAGCTAGTGGCGTGGCCTCAAGGAGGCAGAGTTAATGACAAAGTCAAAAAACAAGCCCCAACTTTTTCCTCACATGCCAAGACCCTCATACCAAATCTGGCCAGCCTGCCCTGTACACCAAGACGGAACTGCGACACTGTCTCTTAGCAAGATCTGCTCTGCCAGAATTCAGATTCCACAAAGGTATTCTGACCATTGCTCATCCCAGCTTCTTCAGAATTAAAGGTAACCAATCAATCAAGTGTCTATTGACTTGAACATCCCCAGAGAGGACCCACAGGAAGTCTGAGGCAGGACCTCTGACAGCAGCCCTATGTCCCTCCAGCTTGTAGGAGAGCCAGGGCTGACACAATGGAAACAGTCAACTAGAAACTGAGGTTCTACAATTTATGACACAGGCTGTCCACGTACTAGGTGTCAAGGCCATGTCTGGAAATCAAACATGGAGACTGAGATCTTCCCCACCCAAAATGCAAGGGACAGGGACAGTAAAAAGTAGCCCCTCTCTAAAACACACTCCCCTCTATCAGATGGTCCATGTTCTTTGAAAATAAACCACTTTGCACTGAATGCTTAGTAAACTTAATTTCAGGAAAAGGAAGCAGGGAATAATTTTATGCTTCAAAAGTTCCTACAAATATCTTGCCCAACTTTTAACAAAATATTATGGCTACTGTTTATGGGGCACCTACTATATCAGAAGAGTTTTACATTTCTCATCTCATTTAATCCCCAAAACAAACCTCTAAAACATAGGGGGTTGGTTTGATTTTAATTTTTTTTCTTTATTTTTAAAAGAAGACATCTGGGGTTCATAGAGGTTAGTAACTTGTTCAAATCACCCAGATTGCGCCCAGCTGGTGTGGCTCAGTGGTTGAGTATCATCCCATGCACCAAGAGGTTGCTGGTTCGATTCCTCCCCAGTGCAGTGCATACAGGAGGCAGCCAATCTATGTTCTCTCTCATCAATGTTTCTATCTCCCTCTCCCTTCCTCTCTAACAATGAATAAAGGAAAAAAAGTTTTTTAATCACCCAGATTGTGAGCATGGGATCCCACGGGATCCGAGTCTGACCAAGGTAGACCAACACCAGCCTAAGTGACGCTGGGCCCACACCTGGGTTCCCAGGAACTCTGTCACTCCAAAAGCCCAAAATGGAGAAAAGAATAGTGAATGCAGGACTGACATGCATTGTCCACACCTGGTGTGTGCCAGTAGCAATGCTGGTTCCAGGAGAGGGTGCAGAGAAAGTAGGAGGTCACTTATATCTTCAGAAATTCCAAATGCAGTAGGAGAAAGGGACTTAAACAAAAATCAAGTGTGCTGGGATAAGGGATAAGGGCCAAATACCAGAGCAGCAAAGAGGAAGTGGGGGCAGGGGTTGATTCTGACTACAAGGACTAACAGGAGGCACTTAATGAGAGGCTTAAAGGGGCATCAGAAAGGCTCATCCGAGGGGGAGGGGGAGAGCAAAGGGACCGACTTCCAGACGCAGCCTCTGGCTGGGCCGAGTTCCTTCGCTTGTTGGGGATATGCTTTATGCCTTCAAATGCGCACGACCCCACCAAGGCCAGCGGAACATAAGCAGTCACTGATATACCCAATTGGCAGGACAGAGATTCCGAGCAGAAAACCCGAAGGGGCACCCGCGACCTCTCCAATCACCCAACTGTCTCAAGGTTTAAATCTGAATTGGAACTGTCCAGACTTTGCCAACAGGGCAGAAGTGAAGATGGGACCCCCCGGCCGGCGTCGGGGGAGGCGGAAGCTAGTCGCTGTCTCCTCTCCCCATTCGGAGAAACAGCTGGCTGGGGTGGGCTGACCCTGGGCGGTGCGCCTTCTCCAGGAGCAGGGTGGTCCTCCAGGGGCGCCGGTTCTTACCTACGCGCCGGGGAGCGGCGGGGATGCTGAGCAGAGCAGACCGACGCCCACACGGCGGGGGCACGGGTGGGGGAAATCAGACGGGCTCCGGGGCCTGCGGGAACCGACCCGGCGACGCTAGGTGGGCCCTAACATGCCAGGACGCGTCGCCCGTCCCATGTCCCACGAGGGCAGGAATACTCGCTGGAATGCTTGCGTTTCTCTCTCTCCACCTCGCCTCTGCGGACAGAATCTAACGGGAAAGCAGAGCACCTGCATGGGGAGCCCAGCCAAGAAATAAAGTACTCCTGCTCAGTCGACAGTAGGAGCCTGAGGCGTTGAGGAGACTGGCAATTAACATGGGCTGAGTACCTACTATGCATCTAAGTCTCAGGTCATTAACTTCTCAGGGTGACTCGGCCAGCGGCCACCACTATCTTCCCAAATTCCAAATAAGAGAGCTGAGGCTAAGAGAGGTTAAGTTCGCTGCTGCCTAATTCGTCTACAACAGGGTGGGACTCAAGGTGTCAAAATATGCCCGACAGGCTTCAAGCCCTTTAAATGTTTTGTCCAGTGCCCCCCTCCCAGTCTGCCCCGAGGTTAAGGGTTTGGGGGCAGCCACTTGCAAGGCGGGGGGGGGGGGGGTCCTTACCCGGCAGGATGAGGATGTCCACCAGGGGCTTGCAGTGGTACAGCCCCGTGGCCATGACGCAGTCAGCCCACAGCCCCTTGGAGCCCAGTTCATCCAGCTTGCGGCACGTAGGGATGGTGTACCCGCAAGTCACCACCCAGTCATTAGTGGACGTGGTGACAATGATGCCGATCCAACCCACGAAGCTCGTGACGAAGCCCACTACCTGCAGGCACGTGGCCACCATTGTAGCCGTCCCGGCGTCCCCGCGCCTCGCCCCTCACTAGCTGTGCCCGTGCCCCGGGCTGGACGGCGCCTACCCTGGTCCTCGCTCTCCCGCGCTCGCGCGAGCCGCGGGCCGAGGACGGCCGTTGCGGGATGCTCGAGGCGCTGTCAGGCCAAGAGAGGCGAGCCCAGCTCCGACGGCTCGACGAGCGCACGGCTGGGACCGGAGTGAGGCTGGGCCGCGCGCCGCCGCCCCTCTCTTTAAACCCCGCAGCTCCCGCCGGCAAGCGCCAATGGGCGATGGCCCTGGGTCGAGCCGGCCAATCGCGGGGCGGGGTCCGGCGTGGGGGTGTGGAGGAGAGCGGGATAAGGAAGGGGGGCGATCCCACCGCCCAGCCCCTCCGGCGTCTCGCTGTCAGTGTTGGAAAGTAAAATAATTCTATCCAGGTCCAGGAAATGCACAGCTCGCGTCAGGCGCAAGTTCGATTTTGCTGGAATGATTTCTCTTCTGGTTAACTCTCTCATCTCTGTCTCTGGTTCTCTGCTCCGCTCCATCCCTCAGCTTCTTCGCAGCTGAGCGCAGGGAGGATGGCACTCCCGTGGGCGCCCTGTACAGTTAGTTCCTCCGCTGGATTGTAACTGATGAACTGGAAACGGCCTTAAGGGATGGACACAAAGCGTTTAGCATACCATAGTTAGTAGTAGAAAGAAAATGATACTTTCTCTAGTCACAAGTCATCAGAGGCAGCCATGACCATAATACTGGTGAAAACAACAATAACAACTCACATTTATCCAGCTGTGTCATGTACTATGTGCACGCATTTATATCGATGTATTATCACATAAAATATCTCCTTCAATAATCCTCCTAAAAACCCTCTGTGGTAGGAATAATTGTCGACACATAGTACACACGAAGACTCAACATGAGAGATTAGGTTGCGCACTTCACACAGCTAGGAAGAAGTAGAATCCCAGGGCCCATTTCACCACCCACCCTCCTGCTAACCATTCCTGGGAACCTGTCCTGATTACCACTTCCTGAAAATTCCTAAAGGGCTCACATGTCCCACTTTTTGACACAATAAAAGTAAGGCTGACTGCTCTGGGCTCACTGTAAATAAGTTAATATCTGCACTCTACTGAGAACACTGCCTGGCCCAGAGTGCTCTACCAATGTAAGCTACCATCATCATCAACATTAATCCACCTTCTCTCCAGTAATTCAAGTAAGACCCATTATATGCATAATTTTTATCATGTAGAGCAGTCCTCCTTAGGCTACATTTATATTAAACAGTTTTAACTCACTTTGAAATCGCTTACCTTCTTATATCTATCACCAATCATGAGACTTAAAGATACCAAGGATTTCATCAAGCACAAAAAGCTCCTACTCAATCTCTAAGATATGGATCATAAATCATAAGTACTGAGCTTTCCCATAGCTGTCCCTAATGCTGGGAGTCAGGGCAAATCTTCTAGGGAAGACTGGGCTGGAGTAGACCCCAAAGAAGTCAAGTGCACAGAAAGAAAAGGCTGTGTAATAGATGACAGAGTGTCAAGTACACCGGCCACCATAATCACTAAGGAGAGCACAAGAAGAAAGACCAGGGTGCCGGGGTTCAAACCCTGGCTCCACCACTTAACTAGCTGTGGGACTAAGTTACTTCACCTTTCTGGGCCTCAATTTTCTCACTTGTAAAATAGGTTTTAAAATATTAACTGCCTCTGTCTGGGCCAGTGTGACTCAGTGGTTGAGCATCGACCCATGCTCCAAGAGGTCCCCAGTTCGATTCCCGGTCAGGACACATGCCCAGGTTATGGGCCCGATTCTCAGTGGGTAGCATGCAGGAGGCGGCCAATCGATGTTCTCTCTCATTGATGTTTCTATCTCTCTCTTCCTCTCTCTCTGAAATCGATAAAGGAAAAACATTTTTTTTTTAAATATAACCTTCCGCATAGGTTTCTTAATTATGTTAATGTACATATAGAGCTTAACATAATGTCTGGTACAAAGTAAGTGCTCAATAAACCTGGGCTAGTGTTACTATACTGTGATGAGTCAGAACTTTTGCTTTTACTGTATTCTTCCTGTATTCATATAAGTTTGAGGAAACTATTCCATAGGGGCATACCCCTTTTATTAGTGAGCCATTTATTGTGTTTGGGAGCATTTCATCACCAGGGTCTACTGACCTGGATATTTTCAGATATTTTCTTACAATGTAAAAAAAAAAACAAAAAAAAAACTTCTGTATTAAATACAACATAAAATGTAAAACCCAAACAACATCATATCATTGAGAAAAGCAGTTATAAAATCTGCATTCTTGTGACTCCACTAGCATTCAAATGATAAAAATTCAACCAATAAGAATTCAACAATGCCCAAATTGCCCACAGGTTACACACACAGAGGTATTTGTAAAGCCAGATTTCAGAACTCAGGCACTGAATGGTAGAAAGAGCTGTATGTCAAATTGTTAAGATCTTGGAATGGAACCTCCCAAGTTCATATTCTGACTTCATCACTTGGACTGTCCCTTAACCTTTTCGAATCTTGGGTTCTTATTGTGAGAATTAAATGAGATAACTTATACAAAGTACATAGCACAGCACCCAGCACTGATGGATGCTAATAAATATTAGCTACAGTCAGTATTATTCATAAGCAATATAGAGCAATTAGAAATATGCGTTGCCTTTGATAGAGGCTAAAGCAATGTCTAAATGATCCCAGCACAAATATGCAAATGGCCATTCAAATGAGGCCAGCAAAGCATAACCTTTTCAATGAATGAGCTATAAGTAGAGAGAGAGAGAGTATATCCATTGAAAAGTAAGTAGCGCAATCGATGTTCTCTCTCATTGATGTTTCTATCTCTCTCTCCCTCTCCTTTCCTCTCTCTAATATCAATAAAGAAAAAAAAATTTTGAAAAGCAAAGTCAGTGGGGCAGCCAGGGAAGTACAGGGAACTGGGAACAACAGCAGACAAAATCCTCTCCTCAGACTCCAAGGATGTGGTCCCTTTGTCAAGGTTCTCTGTATTGCGGGGAAGTCCCTCAAGCTATTTTAGCTGAGAGACTTTCCCTAAAATCACCCACATTCCTTGGCTGTGACTTCCCAAGCCCTCCTAGTGATAAGAATCTGACTTCCCACCTAGCCTAACTTAACAAACCGACATTCCAGGTCTGCCACCATCCCAGACACTCTGTTAGTTGTGACAGTCTCTCAGGTCCAGTCATCCCAGGTAAGGGTAAACAGTGAGTCCTCAGACCTTTCAGAAAAAGGTCTTTCCAGCCATTTCCTCTCGGAAAACTTTGCTATGCCATGTCTTCGCACTTCTGCAGCACATAACAGAACTAATAAGATCTACCCGAGACATGATTCCAGGTCTTTTGACCTAAGGTCCAATCGTCTTTCCAGTATGTAAACAATATAATCATCTGCCCTGGCCAGTTTGTCTCAGCGGTTAGAGCGTCGGCCTGCGGTCCAGAGAGACCCGGGTTCGGTTCCCGCTAAGGGCACGTACTTCGGTTGCAGTTTGTCCCCGGCCCTGGTTGGTCGTGCGGGTGGCAGCCACTCGATGTGTCCCTTCACGTCGATGTTTCTCTCTCTCTCTCCCTTCCTCTCTCTCCCTCCCACTCCATCTGTACAAAAAATGGAAAAATATCCTCGGGTGAGGATAAAAAAAAAACAAAAAACAGTATAATCATCTTTCTTATGGCTTGAGCATAAATTCCTTAATCTTATTCTTATTTGAAGATATTTAAAGAGGACGATTAGAGAGCCAGTCAATGCCCTAAACCCCAGATGTGTACTGAATAAAGGAAAAGGCCTGGTTAAATGTCCTGCCATTTTCCTAAAGGTTATCTAAAAACGGTCGATCACAGTAACGTGTGATTCAAGCTGCACTGGCGCATGTGCCTGCTGGCATGCACCGCAAGCCCACGCTGAAAGCAAAGCTTGATCCAAAGGAGTGGGCTCACAGTGACTACTAGTGGTTGCCTTTTATCATTGCATGGCTGGTAACGCATTTTCTGTGTAAACGTAACAAGATTAATGGCAACGTCCCACATTCCAATTAGGCAATTATTAGACCCAAATGGAGTGTAGATTTCTCTGTGAAAACGTTCTTCCTGTGTTAAAAGAGATGCATCTCTTTAGGAAACCAAACATATGAAGACAGAGGACATGTATGAAATTACTTAGGTGAGATTATTCATTTACAAATAAAGTACTTGCACGGCCGGTGTGTCTCAATGGTTGAACGTCAACCCATGCACCAAGAGGTCTCCAGTTCGATTCCCGATCAGGGCACTTGCCCAGGTTGTGAGCCCGATCCCCAATGGGGGGCATGCAAGAGGTGGCCAATTGATATTCCCTTTCATCCCTCTCCCTTCCTCTCTCTCTCGAATCAATAAAGAAAAAAAAAGGCCTTTGTTAAAAAATAAAATACTTTTAATAAGACCCCCATTTGAAGAATAAATTTCTCTGGTGGATTTTAATATTTGATAATACAAAAATTCCACATACACACACATTTTTATAAATATTGTAGGACAAATTCATAGTGTAAACAAATGTATGAAACAGATTTCTGTTTGATGAGTGTTGGGGATTTGTCTGTTTTGTTGATCACTGAAACCCGAGTGTGTGCAGTGCCTAGAAAACATGGAGGCACTCGACACACGTCTGTCCAATGGAGCTGAACTGAAGGGTTCAAAAAAGAGAGAGATTGAATTTACAAACCTCCAAGTTTCACTAGGATTCTCTTGGTAGGTTTAGGCTACAATAACAGAATACCACAGATTGGTTGGTTTATAGACAACAGAAACTTATTTCTCACAGTTTTGGAGGCCGGAAGTCCAAGATCGAGGTACCGGCCAGCAGATTCAGTGTCTCGTGAGAGTTCTCCTCCTGGTTCATAGACAGCAACCTTCTTTCTGTGTCCTTACATGGTGGAAGGGACAAGAAAGTTCTCTGGATTCTCTTTTATAAGGGCACTAATCCCATTCTTGAGGGCTCCATCCTCATGACCTAATCACCTCCCAAAGGCTCCACCTCCAAACACCATCACACTGCAGATTAAGTTTCAACATAGGAATTTGGGAGGAGATACAAATATTCTGTTCATAGCAGATGGGAATCTGAAGACAAGATGCAGAATAAATTAGGAGGTTGGGATGAGACCTTGTCATGGGGTAGACAAGAGACAAAAT